AATCATCAAAAAAGATTGACTTTACAAACGAATCGGTTTTTGGTCAACCACTTTTTCTTAACCCATCGATTTTTAAAATGTTTGAATGCAGATTGATAGTAGGGATCAGTACGAATTCAAAAAGGTAAAACATTTCAAAATCTGACAGTATTTACCCGAGATATTCAATAAAAATCATCAAAAAAGTTTTGATTTTCGAGCCGACCACGAATATGAGAAAAAACGTGATGTAACCCCTTGCCATTTTGTTGATTTGGGTAAAAATTTAGATTTTCAGTTTTTTGATGCCAATCGATAGTACTGATCCTTACGAGTCCAAAATGGTATAAAATTCCCAAATCGGACATTATTTGGCTGAGATATTACAAAAAATCATCAAAAAAGGTTGACTTTACAAACGAATCGGTTTTTGGTCAACCACTTTTTCTTAACCCATCGATTTTTAAAATGTTTGAATGCAGATTGATAGTAGGGATCCCTACGAATTCAAAAAGGTATAACATTTCAAAATCTGACAGTATTTACCCGAGATATTCAATAAAAATCATCAAAAAAGTTTTGATTTTCGAGCCGACCACGAATATGAGAAAAAACGTGATGTAACCCCTTGCCATTTTGTTGATTTGGGTAAAAATTTAGATTTTCAGTTTTTTGATGCCAATCGATAGTACTGATCCTTACGAGTCCAAAATGGTATAAAATTCCCAAATCGACATTATTTGGCTGAATATACAAAAAATCATCAAAAAAGGTTGACTTTACAAACGAATGGTTTTTGGTCAACCACTTTTTTTACCCAGATTTTTAAAATGTTTGTATGCAGATTGAGAGTAGAAAATTCCCAAATCTGACATTATTTGGCTAGATATTACAAAAAATCATCAAAAAAGGTTGACTTGACAAACGAATCGGTTTTTGGTCAACCACTTTTTTTAACCCATCGATTTTTAAAATGTTTGAATGCAGATTGATAGTAGGGATCCTACGAATTCAAAAAGGTATAACATTTCAAAATCTGACAGTATTTACCCGAGATATTCAATAAAAATCATCAAAAAAGTTTTGATTTTCGAGCCGACCACGAATATGAGAAAAAACGTGATGTAACCCCTTGCCATTTTGTTGATTTGGGTAAAAATTTAGATTTTCAGTTTTTTGATGCCAATCGATAGTACTGATCCTTACGAGTCCAAAATGGTATAAAATTCCCAAATCTGACATTATTTGGCTGAGATATTACAAAAAATCATCAAAAAAGGTTGACTTTACAATACGAATCGGTTTTTGGTCAACCACTTTTTCTTAACCAGACAGTATTCAAGGTAAACATTTAATCTGCAGTTTTACCCGAGTATTCAATAAAAATCATCAAAAAAGTTTGATTTTCGAGCCGCCACGATTTAGAAAAAACGTGATGTAACCCTTGCCATTTTGTTGATTTGGGTAAAAATTTAGATTTTCAGTTTTTTGATGCCAATCGATAGTACTGATCCTTACGAGTCCAAAATGGTATAAAAATCCCAAATCTGACATTATTTGGCTGAGATAATACAAAAAATCATCAAAAAAGGTTGACTTTACAAACGAATCGGTTTTTGGTCAACCACTTTTCTTAACCCATCGATTTTTAAAATGTTTGAATGCAGATTGATAGTAGGGATCAGTACGAATTCAAAAAGGTAAAACATTTCAAAATCTGACAGTATTTACCCGAGATATTCAATAAAAATCATCAAAAAAGTTTTGATTTTCGAACCGACCACGAATATGAGAAAAAACGTATGTAACCCCTTGCCATTTTGTTGATTTGGGTAAAAATTTCGATTTTCAGTTTTTTGATGCCAATCGATAGTACTGATCCTTACGAGTCCAAATGGTAAAATTCCCAAATCGACATTATTTGGCTGAGATATACAAAAAATCATCAAAAAAGGTTGACTTTACAAACGAATCGGTTTTTGGTCAACCACTTTTTTTAACCCATCGATTTTTAAAATGTTTGAATGCAGATTGATAGTAGGGATCCCTACGAATTCAAAAAGGTAAACATTTCAAAATCTGACAGTATTTACCCGAGGTATTCAATAAAAATCATCAAAAAAGTTTTGATTTTCGAACCGACCACGAATATGAGAAAAAACGTGATGTAACCCCTTGCCATTTTGTTGATTTGGGTAAAAATTTAGATTTTCAGTTTTTTGATGCCAATCGATAGTACTGATCCTTACGAGTCCAAATAGGTAGAAAATTCCCAAATCTGACATTATTTGGCTGTGATAATACAAAAAATCATCAAAAAAGGTTGACTTTACAAACGAATCGGTTTTTGGTCAACCACTTTTCTTAACCCATCGATTTTTAAAATGTTTGAATGCAGATTGATAGTAGGGATCCCTACGAATTCAAAAAGGTAAAACATTTCAAAATCTGACAGTATTTACCCGAGGTATTCAATAAAAATCATCAAAAAAGTTTTGATTTTCGAACCGACCACGAATATGAGAAAAAACGTGATGTAACCCCTTGCCATTTTGTTGATTTGGGTAAAAATTTAGATTTTCAGTTTTTTGATGCCAATCGATAGTACTGATCCTTACGAGTCCAAAATGGTATAAAATTCCCAAATCTGACATTATTTGGCTGAGATATTACAAAAAATCATCAAAAAAGGTTGACTTTACAAACGAATCGGTTTTCGTCAACCACTTTTTTTTAACCCATCGATTTTTAAAATGTTTGAATGCAGATTGATAGTAGGGATCCCTACGATTCCAAAAAGGTATAACATTTCAAAATCTGACAGTATTTACCCGAGATATTCAATAAAAATCATCAAAAAAGTTTTGATTTTCGAACCGACCACGAATATGAGAAAAAACGTGATGTAACCCCTTGCCATTTTGTTGATTTGGGTAAAAATTTAGATTTTCAGTTTTTTGATGCCAATCGATAGTACTGATCCTTACGAGTCCAAATAGGTAGAAAATTCCCAAATCGGACATTATTTGGCTGAGATAATACAAAAAATCATCAAAAAAGGTTGACTTTACAAACGAATCGGTTTTTGGTCAACCACTTTTCTTAACCCATCGATTTTTAAAATGTTTGAATGCAGATTGATAGTAGGGATCAGTACGAATTCAAAAAGGTATAACATTTCAAAATCTGACAGTATTCACCCGAGATATTCAATAAAAATCATCAAAAAAGTTTTCATTTTCGAGCCGACCCCGAATTTGAAAAAAAACGCGATGAAACCGCTTGCTTTTTGGTCGATATGGGTAAAAATTTAGATTTTTATTTTTTGATGCCAGTCGATAGTACTGATTCGTATAGGTTAAGTTGATTAAACTTTTGTAGTTCCTTCAGCTAGACCACCTCACAATTATCAACCCAACTGACAGACAGACAAACAAACTGGTCCGTTTTTACTTGTCTCTGGCATTTTACCCCTTGGCATTGCACAAAAAAAAGGAGCAACTATTCGAGGTGCTCACATGGGCCTTTTGATTGCCAATCGTATTATCAGTAAATTATATTTGCCCTGAGCTGGTGGCTGGCGTGTTGACCATGTTTACAGCACGCTTGGCCATGTTTGCGCGGTTGGCTAGGAAGCAGTTGTGGTTGTTCGTTCGGTTGGTTTGTGTGCCGCTTTGGCGCTTTTCCGCTGATTTATGCAAACTGTGGCATTTTTCAATTGCGTTTTCACTCCTGCTGCAGGACCTGCTGCTGCAGAACCTGCTGCTGCAGTTTGTTGCCTTCGCTTGTTTGGGCAAATGTTGCTTTCAAATGGGAAACCCATTGCCACGTTTATTGTTGGTCTGGTTCTTGCGTTGTTAGCTTATGCGCCCCTATTTTCGGGCAGGAGGCTGGATATACCAACCAGTTTCGGGGGCAGGGGGCAGCGGGCAGGGAGCAGAAAACAGGACAAATGTCTGTAGTTTCTCCGCACGAATCGCTAACTGCATTTTATTGTCGCACATGTGTTCGCCTGTTTATGCTTATGTGGATACATGGACATGCGGATCCACGCTTCGCTTTCTACATTTACTACCAAGTGATAACTTTCACGTGGGTTGCTTTAACAGTTTTTGAAACCACCTCATTGCCCAGCATTTAAATCACACCATCCATAAAAAGCAGTCCAAGTGCAATTGCCGCAGCGAAGTCCAAACTATGATATGAGTATTTACCTATAACTCCTTTTGGGACTTAACAACAAACTAGCCAACTAGGCAAAATATGGCGCTGACTTAAATTGAATGAAAAAGTCGGCATCGTCTTATACCTCCCTTGCACAGTCAACTGCTCTATGTCAACTGCTCGTAATTAGGCAATTAGCTTAACGGCGTCCATTCGCGGCTAGCATTGCGAATTGTGATGTCAATCATACGCCCTGTTGCGCCCAATTGTCACTGTCCTTGTCGTGCATAATGCGAGTGCACACACGGTTTTGACTAACTAATATTTGTTTAAACACTAGACTAAATTAGCACATGGCTGCAAAGGAGAGACCAGCTGCGTTTCACGAAATAATGTTGCTGCAAGTGGAAATAACAAATTTATTGGCGCATAATTCAGTGGCATGCGCTGCTGCGACGATGATGCATGAAGGCACCGGATCCTTGAACAAAATATTGCATCCAAGTAACAATTTATGGCAGGGATAAGGATGCCAGCCGAGAGGGTCTCTGCGTTTGCTAGTTACATTAGGGACAATGGCTTTCGAGCCGATAAACGGCAACGGAAATGCAGCTGTTAAAAATGCATCGACTTAAGCTGAAATTTGAGTATAAAATAGTTGAATTCTTCATTTGAGTATAACATATTTATACAGGTAAATACACTTCGGCGCTGTTTCAATTAAAATAACTTAAAACAGTTTTGACTTCTTTTACTTTTTACCAGGGAACATAACATCGGTGGTTGCACTTGCCGCATCAAAGCCCGATGGCACGCTGAAACCGAGCTTTAATTATACGAGTATATTATCTTTCTAGCTGCACGTGTGGGGTGCTCCTTCAGGGCGTGTGTAAACTTGTGCGCAACACAGGGACCTGGGACTCCGGGATCGAATTAACAGGCACCGCACCTGAAGCAACGATTCCATCAGGGCAGGCCACCTGCTCTGGCAACAGCCCATCCGTCGCCGGCAGCACTGGCATCCCACTGACAGGCTCGTCTTGTAGAGGAATGCCTCCTATCCGGCTTACAAGGCGCTTAAGTTTTATTAAATAGTATTAAATTAAGTATTATTCAAATTAAAATAGATATCAAGACTTTGACTTAAATTATATAAATATGAATTGAAAATTTAATACAATTAAAAAACTAAATAAAAACTATGTTTGTTTCTTGATTTGTAACCAATGTTGTTATTACAGGTATTCTTAGGTTCGCAACATGATTATCATGGAAATTTTAAAAAGGCACTTTATATTTACAGTATGTGCATTAATTTATTGAGCGACTCAAGGGGGTGGAGAGGCAGCTAGAGGGGAGTACTGACAGTCAGATGTTGGCAGACACTTGGCAGCTTATGTGGCACAAATTTTCCATTCTCGTTGTTATGTCTGCATATCGCTGCTTTGTGTGCCACATATTGCAGGCTCAGACTGTGTCCTTGCATTTGTGTGTCACATTGACTAACAAACTGAATTGTTGCTGAGTCTGTGCGGGATTAGTTACGGTCCGTTCGGACATTAATGTCTTTCACGTTAAGTGACAGGTAAATTTAGCAGCATTTCAGGACTGCCGTTGCAGGTTAGATTGCGGTTTTATATAAGGCCCCCACATAACGCAAGTAGTAAATTAATGTGTGTATTCGTTGTTGGAAAATTGACTGAAATTATTTGCATGACCCGTATTAAATTATTCCATCCGTCGAAGTTTCAGATAGTTCAACAAAAAGATGCTCTGCACTCAGCGTAACGTACATTCGAATCTTCTCTGTAGATCAATTACGCATTTTCTGGCGAGGCTGTGTTTGGGCTTCCCTTATAGTTCCAGGACCTAAGAACCAAATAAAAAAAAATCATTTTTAAAGCAGAGTCTTGACTTTTGGTATTTACACACATTTTGGTGCTATGTTTAAACCCAGACTAGAAACACCTTAGCTATTCAAGGATACTTTTCCTATGCAAGTGTGCATTTGTGAAGGAACCTTGAATGTTTGTGAGAGTAGCTCGACGCGTGATTCAGGGTGTCTTCTAATCGGGCACTTCCCACTAAAGCACTCTTGTTTCAATTCAATGCGAAAGGTTAACTTAACAAAAGGCTTTATCTGAAAACGATGCGAGTTTTTATTTATTCAAAGTAAGCTTGACCTGCTCGAGCTCTTATAGTCTTCGAGATCGTCGAGTTTATGCAGATGGACACGCATAAGTCAGGGCTAGATATACTTCCTTCTTCTGACTGCCTTCAGGCAGGAAATTATTCAGGACAAAGGGTTCTTTATATGTAGATGTGCTGATTTACAAAGGACTCGTAACATGCCAGGTTAACAATAGCTGTTAAACATTTTATAACTATTTATTATAAGCTATAATCAGCCTTGTGGTATCACAATTAAAAACAGATTACAATATGAATGAAAAACTTTGCGACAGAAACGTTTATTAAATGTATCGTGTTTGTGCTTTGTTGGGCAACAATAAAGTTTTTAAATCACAGTAACTGACACAATAAATATTTATAATTAGTCAGGGAGGCAGATGTTATGAAATCCGGGCTGGTAGACAAATAAGAAGGCAGTTCCCTGTAAAAAGGGGCTTGTTTCAGGTAATAAAGGGAGCTCGAGAAGCGGAGAGGGGAAATGAAAACAATTAAAACTTTTTCCCAAAGTCCAAGCGAAACTTGTCTAGCTTTGCCAAATGCCTAATCAAAGACATCGACAGCAGACGTCAGACAATTAGCTCGAAGCGTATAAAAGGAAAAGCAAGCTGACATTTTTGGACTGTGAACCTGACACTCGCTTGAAACTAACTCAACTACTAAAGGTTGTTTCAGTGTGATCGATATTCACCAGATAGATACATTTAAAAAATGATTGACGGCCCCGAACTAGCTATTATGCAGAGCTTCTACCGGATTCCGCGTTTCTCTGGGCTAATCCTGGGTATTTGGCCAGAACACAAACGTAGTTGGGATAAAAATCTGCTCTTCGCGTTTAGTTTCTTGGTCATCTTGATTGGTGCATGTGGCGAGAATCTTTACGGCTTTGCTAATCTTGACAACTTGGTAAGCGCTCTGGAGGCCTTCTGTCCCGGCAGCACAAAGGCCGTGTGTGTCCTCAAGCTGAGCATATTCTTCATGTACCATCGGCAATGGTTCGACTTCGTAGAGCGTCTACGTGGAATACTGTGCGCCTCCAGAAGCGACGAGGCTCAACAAATGCTGGTTGGCCTGTCCACAATCGCGAATCGCCTTAGTCTACTCTTGGTAAGCTCAGGCTCGATAACCAACACCGCCTTCAATGTCCAACCGTTGATCATGGGCCTGTACCACTGGCTTCGGGAGTTGCCAGGTCAAGTGGAGCTGCCCTTTAATATAATGTGAGTTGAAATCAAATCTGCCTGGTTCCACGAGATAATCTATATGCAATGAGCACACAGTTCACAAATATAGTTTACATTTGAAAACACTTTGGTGTTCTTTTTCTTTTCCAAAATTGGAAACAAAAGATTTTGAGTGAAGAAGAGCGAAATTAAGAATAAAAGTGGGCAAAATATTGACTTAAATTAGACCAAAATAGTTGTTAAAATTTGTATATATAAATAAAATTTGTATATATCAATTTGCTTGCTCTGACTGACTAATTGACTTATAATCAACGCACAGCTCAAACTAAGAGGTTGTACTTAGGCTTTTTAAGGAGAAACCTCAACCCCCAAATAGGGAAAAGGGTGGTCAGAGCTTATATGAAATATTTCGCAGACATATACGTTTTTTTTGCAATAACAATATCAATAAAATTATTAACAAATGTATGAACTCATGGTAACAATAATAATTCTAATTCGGCCAACACCTGTACTTGTACTTAAGTACAAGTAACAAAGCCACTTGAACTTAATAATAAGAGATTTTTTCAGTTTAACATTTACAGCTGGGCATTAAATTTTGATCCTAAAAACATTTTGATGGAAATAAAATTTTAGGCAATAAAAGTGCTCCAATCGGGAGCGAGATATCTAAATTGAAAAAAAATCTAGATCTGTGTACCCTATATAGTTGGTGTCTTTAGCTCTTATGCGCTCGAAATTGATTTAATGAAAACAGAACACGTTTTCGATAACTTGCTTTAAACCTCATTTTTGCGAGAGAAGAAGCTACATTCGACATTTCAAGTCTGAAGCTCTAATTGTCTCCAAAGCGGACAGTCAGACTGATATAGCCAGATCGATTCGCCTGTTGAGCAAGAATATATATACATTATGGGGTCGTACATTTACAGGAAACCTTTGTACCCACATTTAAAAGGTTCACGGCTTACAAATTAATTTGGGTACATTAACGCTATGCAGTGTGTTGAATCATTATAGAAATGGAATTGAAATTGATCCAAGGATACAGTACTTGTTTTTAAATAGATTAATTCCTTTAATAATATATGTTTTAACCCAAATATTTCTTTAACATATTTTTTGCTTTATATAATTCTTGTATATATTTTGTTTGCTTCGTAAAGTATTAATATTGTGGTGTTAGCAATTTTCCAGTAAAATTGATTATATGTGATGTTTATTTACTGAGCAAATAATATCCCATTAATATATAGTTTCCATTTACAGACTACCCGGCTGGGCCACACAGCCTCCCTTGTTTCCACTCAGCTATTTGCTGCTGACGGCATCTGGTGCCTGCACGGTCTTCGCCTTCAGCTTTATTGACGGGTTCTTCGTGTGTAGCTGCATGTACATAAGCGGCGTGTTTTGGGTAATACAGCAGGATATACGCTCCATTTTCGTTGATCTGGATAAAGGTAGGCAGCAGGTGTATCCGATGCCAATGCACCTTTTTAATAGCTGCTCTCACACACAAATGCATGCAGAGGAGTTTTTTACGCCTGCAACAAATGCTGCGATCCGGACCCGGCTTGTCAGTATAATCGATCGCCACAATACGATTATCGATCTCAGCACGGACCTGACGCGCCAGTTCACCGTCATCGTGTTGATGCACTTCCTGTCCGCAGCCTTCGTTCTCTGCTCGACCATTTTGGACATTATGTTGGTAAGCCTACAGTGTCCACTAAAAGTTTCTTTGCTTTTCAGTTAATATTGTGCCAATATGCGCTTTAAAAACAATCAGTTCCGTTTTAGCTATAATGCTTATAACAATAGTTCAGCACTGGATCTAGTGCATCTCGAAGTCGGGCACGCCCGACTATCTTTATTTTGCTATTACTGACAGCTTTTTCACATTTTCCTTTCACGAACAACTCGACCAACTCGCCGGACCCGCCGACCCGCCGGACTCGCCCGTTGGCAGAACACCTCCTCGTTTAGCGGCTTAACCTACATCTGCTACATCATAGCCGCCCTGACGCAGCTCTTCCTCTACTGCTACGGCGGCAATCACGTCAGCGAAAGTGTTAGTAATTTGCATATTATGATTAGAGGGTGTGATAATTATGACGACCAGCTGAGTCGTAATCATTTTGTCCGTCCGCCTGTCTGTCTGCTTCCACGCAAAGCATCCTTATGTCTTAAGAGGTCTGCTGGAAGGGATTACAATGCCGCTTTATCGCCATTAGAACGATCGGTAAAAGCAGAGTCTTAAACTTCAGGTAAGTATATCAAAAATATGGCACATGTTGCCAAGGATATTTAATGGTAGGCACACCAAGCCCAACCGCCTATTCTTAAGCAAGACAATTATATCCATGGACAAGCTGCACTTGTCCTAAATTGTAATTACACTCCCCTGCTCGTCTCTCTCTGCCCCATTAACTTATCTGATTCCCATAGAGCTTGGCTGTGGCCGACACGCTCTACGACGTTGCGTGGTACAAATGCGATGCGAGGACCAGGAAAATGATTTTAATGATATTGCGACGCTCGCAGAGGGCAAAAACTATTGCGGTGCCGTTTTTTACGCCTTCGCTGCCGGCCTTCAGCTCGGTAAGGCCTGATTATCAGCTAAAATGC